GTCCAGGTGGAGGCAGTGCTTATCACCTGAAACTCAGACTGAAGAAGTCTCTTGGAGGAGAGATGAAACGTTTCACTAAAGAAGAACCCATCCAGAGGACCTACTTATTTTTTCTTTTTAATTAAAACAAACATGTAATTTTTAGGCACACAAGCTTAAAAAATAAGACACCTAAAGTTTTTAAAGATGTGTTTAAGCTTAAATTGCCCATTGCTGACATGAAGTGTCCCAGGCTGCACAAACGTGGTGCCAATAGCCAATAGTATTAATGTGAAGCTGTCAGTGATGCAAAGGTTTAATAAAACAGTTTTTTAGTTGCTGTTAGCTCACTTATGTGGTCAGAATTAACTGTTATTAAAAAATAGGTCTTATCTAGAGAAGAATAAACACTGATGTGTGTTGATTTTACTGATGGCAATCCGCCTCATGGTGTCAGAGCGGCTGGGTCTTTCTGGCTCCAGAATCCAGGTCTTCGTGTCAATTTCATCCAGGACGTCCCAGAACTCTGCCAGGGACTCCAGAACCAGCAGGAACTGACTGTGGAGCTGATCTAGAGTGCTCTACAGGACCAAAAGGACAGTTAATAAAATGACAGATAGGACCAACCTCAGCCTTAACTTTAGCACAAAACAAATTAACAATTTTATTATTTCTTCCTCACATTTTAGATCTTAAATGAAAAGTTGGACAAAAGGCTAGACATACATTATTTTCACAAAGACTTTTTTCCCTGCAGGTTAGATTTTTATGTGATGATCTTTGTTGTGTATCAACAGAAGAACAATCAAGTATTACAGCACACTAAACGTTAGAATAAAAATAAAAAATACAGCTTTGGTTACATGTTCCAGATGTCACAGTAAAGAAATCTAAAGCTTAAACAGACTGCTTCATCAGCCTCTGATTGTTCAAAAACAGACAAAACTAAATTTGTGATCATTTTTAGAGTCATAAAAGTCCAATCTTCACAGAAACCTGAGAAAAATAAACTTAGAAGTTCAACATTATCACAATAATAAGGGTTGCTATGAGTCTATTTTTCCTCTATCTTTAACAGGAAAAGCCTTTATTAGTGAGGGCTGATGGTATTTTATCACATTACTGGGGCTATATGCCGACTAAATACAACAAATCGTAAAGATATCTGTTCTCGCTGGTGTGAATATTAGATGTACTTTTTTCGCAGAGATATTTTATGTTTAAAAAAAACTTGGCGGCTGTGGCAGAGTGGTCAGGGGAGTCATCATGTTCAGTGTGTTGCCGGTTCGGTCCTTCATTCCGTCCGTCTCGGTCATTGTGTCCTTGGGCAAGACACTTCACACCCCTTGCCTACTGATGTTGGTCAGAGGGTCCGGTGTCAGCAACGCCTCTGTCAGTGTGCCCCAGGGCAGCTGTGGCTACAATGTAGCTTACTACCATCAGCGTGTTAATGTGTGTATGAATGGGTGTGCGACTGTAGTGTGAAGTGCTTTAGAATCCGACAGGACTTGATAAAGCACTATATAAGTTCAGTCAATTTACCACGCTGTAGCTCAGACCTCCTGGTAAACCGTTGTAGTGCACAACACGCACAACAACACAGGGAGAGCACGGTTGTCAGAGTGGATGTTTATTTTCTGTTGATGATGATGGAGTGTGAGGAGGAAGATGTGACATTTTTGTTGTTAATAGAAAAAAAAGCACTATTTTGTAAATTTGCAACTAAAGCAGGGAGCATACTGCATCCGAACTGCCAAAATCATGCAGAACTGCCGCAGCTTCATGACGAAATTAGCATCATTCTGTTAGCACTATCGACATTTTCCACATACGAACACAAGAACTTTATCATGTTATTGGTCAGAAGTTCGTGGGAGTGTTTGTGCTGAAAGTGCTCAGATGCTGCGTTTTGCTTCAACCATACGCTTCAAAAAAAATAAAAATAAAAAGAGGTGACACGCTTCCAGAGCCAACTGTTGTACCAAGAAGCTGCAGTTTATAAAGAGTCAAAAAGCCAAAAACTCATAAAAGGGGATAAAACAGACGTTTTTTATGGTGGAATCTGACTGATAAAAACTTTGGAGCTTAATCCAGAACCAGTTTGTGGATAATCGAGTGACGAGTCTCTGACTTTTTTTCCCGCATTGTTGACTTCAGCGGGATGAAATCCCACTCAGTGACGTAGGGCTGGGCGGTATGACCTCAAATTCATATCACGGTATAAACTGTACCCCTTCACAGTAACGGTATATATCGCGGTAGAAAATTATCGTAAAAAGTTAAGATAAAGTAATTTTTAGAACACTTTTTTGCAGAGAACTGTAATCTTAATCAAACCCGACATTTTTGTTTTAATTTCTGCCTGCCAATGAGCTTCCGCCTGCTATCAGCTGCTGCTCTGCTGCGCGCTCATCTTCGTCATCTTCATCATCAGAGCAGAAGCCGACTTTACATTAGCAAGATAGATTTATGGCTGAACGAACGTCCACATCTTTTTCTTATCTTCTCTGTGGGTAACAATACTTTAAAGAACAAGCTTTTTCTCCGACAATTGGGTGTAAGAAAACTGCAGTTGTTAAAGCTTCTCTCTGCGCGACGTGCAGCGAAGAGAGGAAGAGATTATGAACCCATGACATGACGTAACTTTTCTACAGTAGGAGGAGGATATTTTGAGGATTTATCCTTCTATACATGTTTTAAAATGCTAGAATTTCTTCATTATATTTCAAACTCCTGCTCAGTTGTCTCTGCACTCGCAGCCCTGTTGACACAGGTGCGATGCCGTAATGACGGTAGAGCGTAAATTTCTACCATAGGCTAACTTCATACCGTTTCTACCGTCTACCGCGCAGCCCTACAGTGACGTATGCTGCAGTGGGAGGGGTTTCCTAGGAGCTCTGCACGGGGTGTCTCATCAGGGAGCTACAGTATGTGTGCGAAAACGAACGCACGTGATGGCGTGTCGTCCGGTCGGCTGCCGAGCGACTATACTGCCAGCTTAAGAGATTGTCACCATTTCCAAAAGACGGTGGTCAATAACAAGCGAACGTATCCTTTCATTGCCCAGCTGAGGTGCACTGCCTATGGTCAGAACAGCCACAGAGTCACCTGTCAGTGTTGTCTCCCCCGTTTAGAAAAATTGGCCAATCCTTGTCCATCCATCCACAAAATCCGTAAAAGTAAACAAGTTAGCGTCATTTTTTTGTGTTTTCTAGGGTCAGTTGGCTGTGGCAGTCACTTTTTATTGAGATGAATCCAAAAATTAATCACTTGCAGTTGTTCATCTCATGATTAATTTCTGCAGGTTTATTAAAATTTGCTCATTGCTATGTGAAATATTTTGCTAACACAGGGATAAGATCCGGGCAAAAAGTGGGTAGAATCCAGCAGTAGTGTCAGGTGATGTCATTATTATTTGTTGATTGAACTAACTGTGGTAATGATTGTGATAAATCCAAAAAGACTGTCTGCTATAGAAAAATAGAGTGAAATCTAACTGATAGCAAATATACAGATAGTTATAAAACGCAGCAACTTCAGCTGAACAAACACACACACAGTAAGGAGAAAGAGAGGCTGATGGAGGTGTGGGAGAGACGGAACGAGAGGGAAAAATTTAGGAGGAAAAAATGAACCAAAAATTACGGGTCATTGTGCCAGCACAGTGCACACAATTAAGCATCGTCCAGGTGCTGAGAGCCTCAGCAATTACAGCCCAATTAATGCCACTGGTATGATTACAGTTAGAGCTCAGGATAACTACCCAAGGCCCGATTCAGAAGGAGGGAAAAATAAACCCAAGAAGAGCTGCTGCTTCCATTTCTGCTGAATGAAAGAAGAACTCGGAGAATAAAGGGGATCAAGCTTTGCTACGTGGCCATCTCAATCAGTCCTTTTTATCCACGGAGGATTTCTGTCTGACCTCTGTTCAACTCCAGGAACGTCACTCCTCTTTCCCAACATGCTGTGAAACGTTGTCATTTTTAACCTTTTTTTCAGTCATTCATTTGCTCTCAGATCAGCTAACAGACACTTCTTCCTTAAGACAAAAACGATTCTGAAAACACAAACTTACATTGTGTTGGTGTGAAAATCAGAATAGAAAATGATAACGAAATGCACAATGAACACTGACTACTAAATTACTGTTTTTGGTCGGGAGGCTTAATTTTTTTTTTGGTTCAAGATAAAACTATCACAACAATAGCTAAAACCAGCAAAACAGTAGCCAGAAGCTAAAATTTAAAAAGCTAAAAGTTGAAACTATGCCAGCAATAACTAAAATATTAACCCTTAACTGGTCTTTTAACTTTTTGAAAATATGAGTTCCTTTGGGGGAAAACCCAACCACCACACATGACTGCATAAAAATAATTTCTTCGAATTTCTATTCACAACTAGTCTATTGTACAAATATCTAAGCCTGAAATAAACATAGCAAGTATAAATGAGTTTTTACTTTTTTATTAACAAAATATTTTATGACAATTAAAAATTAAGATAAAAATGGTATTTTCATCCAACTGGTGCACACAAAATAATTTTTTGACAATTAAAAAAAATAAAAATCCAGTTTGGAATTTTGGGAAGACCAACCAGCCCATCAGGCCCTCCAGATCCAGTAACCAAATTTAGTCTGATTTAAGACCTTTTTAACCTGTAAATGCTCATATGGGGTCTCACACACTTTATTTATTTTTTTGTTGTTTCACTTTATTCATTTTATTTGTAACACAAACTAAAAAGTACAAAAAAATGCAATCAAAATAAAATCAAATAAAATGAAAGGCAGCAGAAGAAGAATAAATCTTATATCTGCACCTTTTTTATACCCAAAATATGTTCAAAAGAAAAGTAAAAATACAACAAAATCAAAACAACTTAAAACATTTAAAAACGAAATAAAAATAAAAAGACATCAGTTCAAAAAACAATTAGCATGAATTCACTTATTATTCTCCATATTTCTTCAGAATATTAGTTTTTATTATTCTCTTCAAAAAATAAATGTTATTGATTGA